TCAACCGTAACTTTAACCATTGCCTTTACAGGGAGAATTCAAGCCTGGGATCAGGGAGGTATTTACACCAATGATAAGAGTGAATCCACAACAACAGGAATAGGAGTATCTGCTACTCAAGGTGTACTTCTCACACATTTTGAAGTTTCTCTTGCTCGATTGGCTTTCCCTTGTCCAGATGATCCTCAACAATATCGTCTCATTTGGCAACTTCAGTCATTACAACTTCCTTCACTTTACAGTTTGGTAACAAGTAATACATCAGAGATCATGAAAAAAACAATGGGAAATAAAGGTATACAATACTCTTTTGCGCCTATTGGTCCACTACCGGCTTATGTTTTGGCCTTTGCGGCTTTTTCTGGTTCTGTAGAGGTAGTAGAAACGACCTTGCATACCCGTAAACCATTATCCACATTAGTAGAGGATAATAATAAGAATAATAATAATAAGTGTAATACCATGGGAATAAGAAATTACAATAATGTAGAAACCATTCTACCATTACGTGTTATTACATCCAAAACGAGTGGAGTTAGTTTATCCATGTTGAATCAAATTGCATATATAGCTCAGGAAGCTGTACGTTTATTGGAAGATTTTTTTGCTGCACCCCTTCCATTACAACAATTACCCTTTTCAGAGAACTTTGAACATCAGGAAGAAATGCTTACAATTGTTGTTGCCCCCACCATGCCTTATATATCAGGTATGGAACACCACAGTTGTATATTTCTTAATGAAACTATATATCGTACATCACAGAACAACAATAACAACAACAACAGCAGCAGTGGTAGTGGTAGTAGCGGTAATAGTAACAATAATAACAATACCAAAGGGTCATCTAAACAGCAAGCAACAAGTAGTGATGAAGTCAGTCGAGTAGAACTCATTGTACATGAACTTGCACACCATTGGGTTGGAAATGCTCTAGGTATGCCTTTTGTTTTAAAAGAAGGGGTTTGTCTATTGTTGGAGCAGTGCTTTTGTGATATAATCATGGGAAAACCGATGCGAAAGATAAAACCATCAGGTGATACTTTATCCTCTACTTTTATTACTCCTGCTCCTTCTGTTTCTACCACATCCTCTCGTACAGAATCTTCTCTCACAGTTTCTACTGCAACTACTGTAGTGGATACAGAGAAAGGTAAAGAGTTTACAGGATACTCTTATCAAAAGGCGTTAAATACTCTGCGGGATGTGGTTAGTAGAATGGGGTTTTCCACGTTTAAGGAGCGTATGCAATATATGTACTTTAATGAAGTGATGAAACATAGTGAAAATTGTGGTGAAGAAGATTATAATTCCCATTTCTCTGTGAAGGATTACCTAACACCGTATGTTAGAGCAGATGAATTCTTGGCATATATGGGAACATGAGGATTTCTTGGAGTAAATTTATGTTATTAATGAATATATTTGGTACGCTTAAATTTCGCAGATGAGGACGTGTTATATGGTTTAATTTTTTTTTTAATTGGAGCGATAATAATATTTATGGGGAACCTACATAGGTATTCTCTTTTGCTCTTCCCGTTTAGACACATATACATATATACATATATAAAAAATAAAGTATAAGATCATCCAATGAAAATCATAAAGACTGGGGTGTTTTTACTTTATTTTTACTATATAAAACGAGAAAAAAAAAGTATGAAGTACGTTGTGTGCGTTTCTTTATCCTTATTAATTATTATTTTGTTTTTATTCCATGTGCATTTTCTACGTACCTTTTTTCTTTGTTTGATTTGCCTTCATATGATGCTGGAAACAGTAATTCTTTTGATTTTTTTATCTTTCTCTTTCTTTCTTCTTATAGTTTCTGTTCTCGCTTTTTTTCTTTATTTCTATATTTATTTATTTGTGTTTTTTTTTGTTTTGTTTTTATCCTTACTTGTAGAGCACATTTAAGTTAAACATGCGTCGTACTTTCACATCACTCCTTTATGGACGCCGCTGTGTCCAATCGGCTTTATTGGCTGCTGTTACTACTACTACTACTACTACAACGACTGCGGCTTCTAATATCACTTCCCCTGTCTCTGTGGCGCTGAACACATGTATGCGTTTGCAGGGAACTCGACAGGGACCCCCGAGTGGTGTTCCACCGGAGCTGCGGGCTCCCGTGCAGGGTTCTCGTCCACAACAGCCAATGGAGAATGTTGGCGAGGGTGAGGAGCCCGCGTTTGAGCCACCAAAGAAACCGGAAGAACCACCCAAGATGTTAAAGATTGATACCAATGATAAGGGTATTGTAACTATTCATCTCTGTCGTGCTCCGGTGAACTCCCTCAACCTGGAACTCCTTGATGAGTTTAATAAATGGATGTACTGGCTTGGCAGTGATGAGAGTTGCCGCTCTGTTATCATCACCTCTGCGATTCCCACGGTCTTCTCTGCTGGTCTTGACATTTTGGAGTTGCGTAATCCCCAGCCGGAGCGCCTTGCCCGTTTCTGGCATGCCTTTCAAGAGACATGGCTTATTCTGAACACCTTCCCGAAGCCCATTGTCTCTGCAATTAACGGCAACTCCCCTGCCGGCGGTTGTATCTTCGCTCTTGGCAGTGATGCCCGTGTGATGGCGGCCCACCCCGCCGGCAAGCCGGAGCGTCCCTACCGCATTGGCCTCAACGAAGTGAAACTCGGCATTCCCGCGCCGGCGTGGGCCATTCGGGCGTACGCGGCGGTGTTGGGCCCCCGCCGGGCGGAGCGGATGGTTCAACTCGGCGAGACGCCCACCGCTGCGGAGGCCGCGTCGATTGGACTCGTCGATCTCGTCGTTGCGGAGGAGGGCGACGTGTTGGCGGCGGCCACGCGGGAGGCGGAGCGATTCCTCGCCGTGGCTCAACCATCACGGTGGATGATGCGGGATATCATGCGGCGAGAACTGCTGGAGGATATTTACAGTGATGAGGCGCGCGAACACGAGACGCAGTTTGTGGTGGGCCTCATGATGGATGCGGAGGTGCAACGGAGTTTAGAGGCATACGTGGCGCGGCTCAAGGGAATGCCCGCAAAGAAGTAAACAAGAGACTACACCACCAACACTAAATATATATATATATATATAGTCTCACACTTAGCAGAGAGAATAGTCACCACCGCCCGCTGCAGCAGTAATGGAAGAGAGATAGAGAGAAAGGGTAAAAGAAAAGAAATGAAAAGGAGAGCGGAGGGGTGGAGGTGAGTGGGAATGTGAACGATGAAAGTGATAAGGAATAAAAAAAAAGGAAGAGAAAGAGAAAGGGCGGCAATTAATGCAATGGCCCAAAGATAGAGAGAGAGATAAAGAGAGAGAGAGAGGGAAGGAAAAGGAAGGAGAAAGAGAACAGTAATAACAGCAGAAGAGAAAGTTTCGTGGGACGCACAGTTGTAGCGTTTCTTGTATTTACTGAATAAAGAAAAACATTAACCATATGGACTTGATTGATATGAATTGTATCGCACTCAATGACTAAGGCAATAATTTCAACAAAAATCAAGAAAAAACAAGGAATAATGCCTTCCAATGTCATGTCTTTACTGTAGGGGAGAACGAAAAAAAAATACGTATAGTTGAGGTTGAAGTATGAAGGTACAATGGTAATGCATATGTATTACATTCGCACAACTGTACACAGTACCACCCTTGAATCTATTTTTATTACCTTCCTTACTTCCATCAAGATTCATATTCTCTGCTCTTGATTTAACTTAACTTGACACTCCCTAGCACACCACACCCGGGGAATCTCTTGAATTCTAATAAAGTTTTCTATAAAGAATGTCTTTTTTTTATTCATGTTAACAAAAATAAATGTACTAAAATAACCTTGAGGGAAAGACCCTATAAAAACATGACTTATCTCCAATATTACTTTCTCACCATTTTTTTTTGACATTTTTGACTACTGTTCATAGACGTAGAGGATAAACTTTCATACATCTCTTGAGAAGGAAAAACAATGATAACCTCCAATGAGGAAATATTAAAAAAAAAAAGGGATGTAAAAACAATATTATATAGGAACTAAGCTGGACACGTAGTGTACATTTTTTATTGGCATATCCATTACACAAAGTCCATCTATATAAACTACCGTTTAACGAGCTGCATTGGAAAGCTTACTTCATTTGACTACAGAAAGACCAGGTGCCTTTCCACACGTGCCCAGTGGAATGTACAGCGGACTACGTGCTGGCAGTTCCCCGGTGTTGCACGGAGGGCGAATAACTTCACTGGTGCCATGTTGGTGTTGTATGTACTTGCACGGCACCCATCACAGGGCTACAACTATTCTGCTGCACTAGAGAAGGAGGCTGATGAGTATCATGATGTCATTACACTGCCGGTGAATGAGGGTAATCCGAATACAACAAAGTTGGAGTACAGCAGCAATGATTGGGGCTTGGATGCGCAGATGGGTATGAGCCGCAAAACATTCCTCTGGTTTGAATTGGCACTACAAGTATTCCCGAATGTGAGCTGCATTACAAAGGGTGATGATGATATGTTCTTGCGCGTCCCACAATTTTTGTCTGATCTACGTGTCATACCTCTCAGAGGAATATATTGGGGTGTACCTGTTGGAGGGGTTTACTACAGAAAGAGTGTCAATATTGGAATTCGATTTGCTGGTGGGTGGTGCTATACACTTTCAAGATATACAGCAGAACACTTTGTCTCTTACGAACCGTTAAAGCGATTAGTGCATCTGCTGTACAGCAAGGAACGGGAAGAGGAATTGTTTCTTCTTAGTAGGAATGGAGAAGATGCCATAGTGGCGAGTATATTGTTTGTTGAGTCTCCATACGCACCACTGGTATTTGTAACGGCCTATACGTGTCGATTCCATGATATTCGAAATTCTACTGGTCATTCGTTGCTTAACCCAATGTCTCTGGGTATTCACCATTTGCAGGAAGATGACTATGCGATGCTAATGGATAGGTTTGGGAATGGTACGACGTACAGCCCCAGAGTGCGAATATTTCGAAAGCGTAAAATGATCAAATTTCTTTGTTAAGAGTCTTAACAGATTATTATGCTGTGAATTTTATGATATCTTTACTTTTTATACCAATCTATAATTTGTTGCTATTGTTTTTTTTTGCTGTGTGTTGTGTGTGTGTATGGGTCACTGCCCCCCTTGTATACATCCTCATCCCTCTCTCTTCACCCCTCATCTGTAGTGACATAGAGTGAACATGGCACGCAAGATACCACAGAGAAGCGTCATTCTCGGTACACTCCTG